ATGCCAAAGAATGCTCAAACTACCACACAATTGCATTTATCTCACACCCTAGCAAAGTAATGCTCAAAATTCTCCAAGCCAGGCTTCAACAGTACGTGGACTGTGAACTTCCAGATGTTCAAGCTGGTTTTAGAAAAGGCAGAGGAACCAGAGATCAAATTGCCAACATCCATTGAATCATCAAAAAAGCAACAGAGTTCCAGAAAAACATCTATTTCTGCTTTATTGACTATGCCAAAACCTTTGACTGTGTGGATCACAACAAACTGCAGAAAATTCTGAAAGAGATGGGAATACCAGACTGCCTGTCCTGCCTTCTGAGAAATCGGTATGCAGGTCAAGAAGCAACAGTTAGAACTGGACTTGGAACAACAGACTGGTTCCAAATCGGGAAAGGAGTACATCAAGGCTATATATTGTCACCCTGTTTATTTAACTTATATACAGAGTACATCATGAGAAATGCTGGGCTGGAAGAAGCACAAGCTGGAATCAAGATTGCTGGGAGAAATATCAATAACCTCAGATATGCAGATGACACCACCCTTATGGCTGAAAGCAAAGAACTAAAGAGCCTCTTGATGAAAGTGAAAGAGGAGGGTGAAAAAGTTGGCTTAAAGCTTAACATTCAGAAAACTAAGATCATGGCATCTGGTCCCATCACTTAATGGCAAATAGATGGGGAAAGAGTGAAAACAGTGGCAGACTTCATTTTTTCGGACTCCAAAATCACTGCAGATGGTTATTGTAGCCATGAAATTAAAAGACGCTTGCTCCTTGGAAGAAAAGTTATGACCAATCTAGACAGCATATTAAAAAGCAGAGACATTACTTTACCAACAAAGGTCCATCTAGCCAAAGCTATGGTTTTTCCAGTAGTCATGTATGGATGTGAGAGTTGGACTATAAAGAAAGCTGAGCCCCAAAGAACTGATGCTTTTGAGCTGTGGTGTTGGAGAAGACTCTTGAGAGTCCCTTGGACAGCAAGGAGATCCAAGCAGTCCATCCTAGAGATCAGTCCTGGGTGTTCACTGGAAGGACTGATGCTGAAGCTCTAATACTTTGGTCACCTGATGCAAAGAATTGACTCCTTGGGAAAGACCCTGATGCTGGGAAAGATTGAAGACAGGAGAAGAAGGGGACGACAGAGGATGAGATGGTTGGATGGCATCAATGGACATGAGTTTAAGTAAACTCCGGGTGTTGGTGATGAACAGGGAGGCCTGGTATGCTGCAGTCCATGGGGTCGCAGAGTCAGATACGACTGAGTGACTGAACTGAACTGAAGTGAATCTTGAAATCAAGCCTAATGGTTTGTCAATGCCATGCTGTGCACCCACCCTACCACTGCCACTACCTAAAGCAGTCCAAATTCTTCCATGGAATTACTGTGGATTTGCATAGTTGTCCAGCTTGGTAAGACCTAGAATTAACCTTAGGTTAAAGTAGATGTTAGTTTTTTTATATTGACTTTTCCTAAATTAGCCTTATTCCTCGAGATGGATTGTGATTTGCGAGTGTGACATGCATACTCCTTGATAGTTAGGGAGGATGGTGACTGTTGCAGCTTTAGAAAGGGTGCTAGAAGAAAACTAACTGGCCAGGAGGATCTTCAGAGCAGGCGTGGAGGTGGGGGCAACAGTGATGCCAAATGCTCCTCAGTTTAGTAGAGCTGCAAAGATGGTGTTACCCAGGACAGAGAGAAACTCATCCAGAGTCCCCCAGCCATCGAGTCTGAGGACCCTGGTGCAGCCTCCTCATACCCACGGGGCTCACAGCCAGGGCAGGCATCCTGGTGCAGAGAGGAAGGGTTGCTTTTCCAGGGACTGAGGAATGAAAGAGAAAAAGCTCAACCTACTCTATTAAGAACAAACTTCCATAAAGTAAGCAAGCAAGAATATTTCTCTATATAGTTAATCTGAGAGGAGAAACTAACCTGAAGGAGAATTAAGAGAAATTGTGGAACCTTCTTTGAAACTTTGCCAAATTAAATTCAAGTTTGTGTGCCTATATTCCGTGTATAATACACATACTGATTTTTAAATTTTGACTCTGAAGTGAAATTAACTGCTCTTCAAATAGTGGGCAAGTGTCATCAACTGAAAGAGTGTGGGGAACCAGTACAACCAGAAAAAGGAAACATCAGAGATTCCAAGGGCTTGGTTTTGGAGGCACATTTTATTTAACAGTACTAGAGAATTAACATCTAGTAACAGCGTAATACAAAAATGAAACACCAATCTATTTATAACTCATATAATGGGAACATGTCTTTCAAGAAATGTGGGGAAAAAAGTTGGAGATTGAGACACGTTGATAAAAATGTTAACAAAAATCAAAACTCATTCCATCATCATTCACTTTACATTCTCATGATAAGATTGTCATTTTGCTTTCTCCACAATATGTCAAAAATATATATACTTATGCATAATATTCACATTCTGGGAGGCAAGAGAAGTCTTCAAATTTAATTCCCTAAATTTAAACATTACATATATTTCAATTAAAATAACCTAAACATTAAGAATAGCAGCAACACTGGTCTTTAAATTACAGTAGATTATTCACATAACATAGACATATTTGGGTGGCTCTTTCACTATTAATATTATCTGATATAATTTACAAACTCCAAGGTAATGGTCTCATCATCAAATAACACAGAATCTAGTGTCAATAAATACTATGCAAAGAATTATTATAAAACACAGATTGCTAAACATTCTCCAGACTAGAGAGAACCATACTAAAAAATTTCAGGGGAGAATCAGGTCTGAAGGAGGTTTGAAGGCATGCAGGAATCTGTGGGGTTCCCAAGGCAAGAGAGAGTGATCTGACAAGCTCCCCGAAACAACAGGCAAACTGTCAGGAATGGAATCCTGAGAAGTGTGTCCAAGGGGACAAGGCACAGTCACCTCTTCACAGCGCCATGTTTCGCTTGAATATGGCGTTAAAGTGACTAACATCTGAAAAACTTCCCACTAAACAAAGGACAGGATCATTTCTCACCAGGAGACAAGACATTGGACCAGGAGGTCAGTATTTATTTCTCATCATTTACATTATTCTGATGACCAAAGGCATAAAAAATATTTCAGCAGGGTTTTGTGTTTTTAAGCCTGGATGGTAGGAAAAGTATTTCTACCCCTACTCCTGATTTAAGCCACTGTGCCAATTTCCTAATCCTACTGGCTTGAAAAGGACCCCAGATGTCAGGACAGGGGTTTCTTCATAACTGGACGCAGTTACAGAAGTTGCCTTGAAGATTGTGCCTTCTTTGTATATTTGGAAGGTTTTTCAGAAAAGGTGAATGGTTAAGTATCACAATGGGGTTGGGATCTCTCACAGTAAGACTGCTTGCTGATATTTCAATAATTTGTCCCCATCTTCAAGCCACTTCATACACAATTGCATTTGATACCCTCACACACAAATCTGTGAGGCAGCCAGGACACATCCACGTGTTCCCTTTATAGACGAAGAAAACTGAGGCTCCTGGAGATCAAAGCGATAAGCTTGTCACAGTCACACACATGGACAAACTGGTCATTTGAAGGAGGCAGGGAAAAAAAGAGAATATAAATGAGTTCATGAGAAAAAGAAAGGGAAACAGAAGTGGTGCCACTTGGCAGACAGTATCATAAACTTTGAAGCAACCAAAAGGCATCTCACATGTAGAACACAGAGATTTAAAAACACATTTAAATACTTCAGTCTTCCGAACTGTCTCATACTAGCCTGGATTACCATATCTTTATGTAGCTACTGAGGCTGACATTGAAACATAAGATCACCAAGAAATTCTTACATGAGTTTCATGATTTCCCAGTAGACATAAAAATATTCTAACCTGTTCTGAGGACCCCCACTCCTGTCTCATTTCACCTCCAGCACAGTAATTACAGGAAAATACATGTATATTTTGACTCATTTTGGTAGTTTTCTAAGGTGTACTTTTCACAAAATATTATTAGTGAATTTTCTTGCATGTCCTTAGGAAAATTAGCTTTTTCTCTCTTGGATCAAAGCTGAGAACACTGCAATAAACTTAGAGCTTTGATAATTTTACGTTTGAACTCTACTTGATAGTTGTTGGAAAAGAACACATTTTAAATGACTAATAGTTAATTTAGAAAGCTGGCTTATTTCATACAACCCTTTGAAAAAAATTCAGTGATTCTTAGCTTGACAGTTTCACAAAACAAAATTATACCTATTGCACTGTAGAAAAAAAAAAAACAACTTACATATACTGATAATCTATGTACTGAAAGACTTAGGTTCAAGGTTCTGGAGAGTGACACTGAACTGTTAATCAGTTTTAAATTTTAATCAGTATATGTTTTAAAGAAACGGCTGAATTAAAATAGAAGGCCATTCATGACACCATTGCGAAATGTGATGGAAAACTCATGCAGATCCCTCATTCCCCCTCAGTAGCACCCGCCCCTCCCCAGGCACCCCCACCACCTTCCCGACACACACACTAGAAATGTCCGGCCATCAGAGTCTCGGACCCTGCACTCAATGAACAAGGTACCACAAGGTAAGTTACACTTTGGCAAGTAGGAAACAGAACAATTCTTTGAGTTCTTCTGAGGTAGTACAGTCTTTCTAACATTCTAATGGTTGAGAGGTGTCTAAGGAGCTGGAACCTGATTATTACGTGGAGAACCTAAGATATAAGATAGCTGTGTGACTAAGGTAACTGTGACTCGTGACAACTTGGATTTAATTCCTATATGTTTTTTTAAAAGTGCCTGGTATACAGCAGAAACTCAGCACATATCAGATTACTGACTGTTTAAAATCTCCCACTTAGCTTAGTGAGATTACAAGTGAAAACAAACATAAACACACCCAACCCATTGCAGACTAACTGTCACCAAAGGCCAGGTCACTTTCCCTTGTTCATGGAATTGTAGATACCTTTCAAATAGTACTGGCCATGGTATAGCATGCAATTCCATCTTAACCTTATTTCCATTACAATTTTATCATGAGATGTTTATGGAAGGTTTGGCTTTAAATAACTTTTCTGAAGACAGTGTGATCCACTTTCTTTGCTGTTCTTCAAGCTTTTCTGCCAAGCATTTAATCAAGACAGGGTCCACCTTAGAATCAAATTTATTAGCAAACCAATGTCCATATTTCATAAGCCACCTTAGTTCCGCTGTTCCATAGATACACACACTTCGGAGGTGAGAGCCAGTACAACTGGGATAGAAAAGACCTTCTAGATAATTCCATTTGACCAGGCGGGTCTTACTCTGTAGGTCAGACACATCCTGGGCTGTCCTAGAAATCTCCCCAGGGATTCCTGGTACCCGAATTAAGGTAGCCCAAAAGTGCTCATCAGGTGAGTATGTATCTTTAGACCAGGCAAAAAAGTCTTCAACAAAGGAGTTGTTGAAAATATACTTAATGAATGCTCGACTTAACACAAAATAAGCACTGCCAACAAATATCTCGATGTTATGAGGGGGGGCTTCCTTGGAAATGTTTGTCCTCATCGGTAGTTTCACATATTCATAAGGTGCCTGTCTGAGCTCATGGTGATAAGTGAATCTTTCCACCTTAGTGCTAGGGGGTTTCACTGTCTCTAACATGTTTGATCCATTGAGTTTCTTCAACTCTGACACTAGTTCGAAGTTTGACTTCAAAGGAAAATCCTGCCCACACAGGTTGATAACATATTTCCACTGAACTGAAGACTTGAGAAGGTCTGACAAGCAATTTAAATCAGCCTGGAGTCTGGAAATGTGTGCGTACTGCACAGTCTCTAATTTGGAAGCAATGAAAATATTGGAGAAGCACTTAGCTAAATTGTTCATGGCAACTTTGAAGGTATCTGATGATTTTTGGTCATAATGGATGCAATAAATATTGTGCTGGTTGTATATAGCAAGGATTAGCCTTTCAACCATAATTGCATCTTTGTGAACCACCAAAGAATAGGCTATTGGGAAGCTTTTCTCCTCCTCTGAAACAAGCTTTTCATCGTAGCTTCGTAGGGCCTGATAAATCTCACAATCACTGGTAATTGCCACAACATCATCATCATCCAAGTCAATGATAGTTCTTCTTCTTATTTCCAGACTCTTGCCAATTTCCAAAGGCTCCTGTTCATAGACACCCGAACAGTTAATCTCATATCCGATTTCATTCTTGACATGGGTGTATCTGTTCCTTACAAAAGGTGAGGTACTTACAGAGTACTCAACCAAGTAAATGCCCCGTTCAGGGAAGAGGAACCGTTTAACATTTAGGAGCTTCAACAAGGAGAACAGCCATAGGGTTAGAAACAGGATGAAAACTTTCTGTTGTAGGTGATATTTAAAACAACATTTGAATGTCTTCATTCTGTAAGAGAACAAAGGAACAATTCAGTTGAAATAGAAAGAGAAAATTAGTTCAGTTCAACCAACATCCACTAGCTGCCTACCACACTAGGCCGAATGCTGGGCCCAGAGGCAATTTAAATAAGTGTTCTTGCCCTTTAAAGAATCCAGAAATAAGGAAATGGAAATATGTACAACAGTTGTATTTTGTCCTATTCTCTGTTAGATATCTAATTTTGAGAGATATTGATTACCAAATATTAGAATGAAAAATGTTAACTCCTTAAATATAGGTACTAAGTATCTTAATTATCTGATTTTCTGCTGAGCCTATATTTGCAGAAGGATTGCTGTGGTTTGGACAGAGGTCTAGAAAACTGGATTTTTTAGTAGTCATATACAGATGTGAGAGTTTGACCATAAAGAATTTGAGCACCAAAGAATTGATGCTTTTGAGCTATGGTGCTGGAGAAGACTCTTGAGAATCCCTTGGATTCTCAAGCAGATCAAAGCTAGGAGATCCAACCAGTCCATTCTAAAGGAAATCAGTCCTGAATATTCATTGGAAGGACTGATGCTGAAGCTGAAGCTCCAAAACTTTGGCCACCTGATGCGAAGAGCTGACTCATTGGAAAAGACCCTGATGCTGGGAAAGATTGAAGGGGGGAGGAGAAGGGGACAACAGAGGAAGAGGTGGTTGAATGGCATCACCGACTCGATGGACATTAGTTTGAGCAAACTCTGGGAGATGGTGAAGGACAGGGAAGTCTGGAGTACCACACGCAATTCACAGGGTTACAAACAGTTGGACACGACTGAGCAAGTGATTAACAACAAAGAGGTCACTGAAAATGTAAATGACCCATCTGAGGCTAAAAGGAATATCCATCTTGATTTTACCTTCAGATTCTGATGAGATCTAGATCTGAAGTCAAATGGGAAAAGCCCAGTGAACTCCACTGCTATAAACTGAATGTCTGCATCCTCCCCAAAATTTTAAGTTGAAACCTAATCACCAATTTAAGTTGATTGTATCAGGATATGGGACTTTGGGGGAACTTTTTAGGTCTTGAGGGTGAAGTCCAAACACATAGGATAGGTGCTCTTATAAAAGAGACCCCAGACAGCTAACTTCCTTGCCCCTTCCATCATGTGAGGAAAACCGTGGGAAGATTGTTGCCTATGAGCTAAGAAGCAAGCTCTCATCAGGCATGCAGTCTGCTGGAGTCTTGATTCTGGACATCCCAGCCTCTAGAGCTGTGAGAAGTACATGTCTGTTGTTTATAAGCCACCCAGTCTGTGGTATTTTATTATAGCTGCCTGTGTAGACTAAGACACTCACCTTCAGAAATAAGAGCAGTGGGCAGACCCCAAAGGAGGCTATAGTAAATATTAGACATTGTAAAATTTTATTCAGATTACACAAATTTGGTAAACTTGCACATTTCCCTTATTTTGTTAGCTCCCATTTCCTCACAGGGATTAGCAATTTAGCCCTTAAAATGAAAAGAATCTTGACTCATTGAGAGTAGGTGGTCGGGGGCCAGTTTGGCTGAATCTGTCAGTTTTATGTACTCATCCAGAACAGTTCATGTGTGTGTAGGTTCCCTGCAGTTCAGGCTAAAAACGGAAAACCATTAAGACGTCCTACAGGGCAGTGATTAATCACACCCAACCTGAGACGAACATGCAGGTGCCTCTGTGGGACAGTCCACACCACAGACTGTGAAATAGAAATAGGACCATGCAGAAAACAGTGTAGAATGAGCTCATATGTGTGTCCAGAAAAGGACTCTATACACCCAGCAGCCTACAGACAAACAGCACACGTCAGTAAGCTTTTTCTTTCTCCGTCACAGCTGCTCAACGCTGCCACTATAGTGGAAAAGCAGCCAGATATACTGGAGGTGACTGTGTATGAATGGCTGTGTGCCAATAAAACTTTATTGACAAAAACAGGCAGCTGAAGGCCAATATTTTCATAAGGACTAAGAATCTGGGGCCTGGGGAAGAGGTGATTTATTTTTCACCAGATAGCCTTTTGGACTATTTGAATGTTAAAAATGATTATATTACTGTACCCAAATAGATGAACATCTTTAAAAAATGGTTATATTACTTTATCAGATAAAAATGGGTTACCCAGTGGGCAGGCATTACATGTACTTATTTGGGGAGCAGCAGGAAATGGGCAAATCCACAAAGTATTACCCCGAGGCTTGAGGACAGCAAGGCTGGCCAAGCTCCTAGCAGTGCTCCTAGCAGGTCCAAATACTGAGAACTGGGGAGGTCTGAGGAGCCCATATAGAATTTCCTTATACATCTCAATAAACCATAAACAAGGACATCATCATTGAACCTAATTTCCTTAGAAAGAAACAGCAAGACATTTGAACCTGATTTATTTTCGTAGATTTCTTTTAAATAGATTAATTGAAAAAGCTCTTGTAGGAATGACATACTCTGATTCACCTTCACTTGAATTACTCCCTTTGAAGAATGACACCTTATTTATCAACGGTGAAGTGCCCTGCAGAGACTGTGTTCTCCTGCCACACCTCAGGCTCTCCTCTGAGTTTTCCTCGGGTCCTATTCTCAACTTACTGCTCTTCTCCCCAACACTCTCCCTTGCTTTCAGGATTTCACCTTCCATGTATACACTGCCAGCGTCTTTATCTTCAGCCTCCACCTCTTGCCCAAGCTTCTGACATGAACATCCAACTGCTTGATAGACATCTCCACTTAGACAGCCCATGGGCACTCCATCTCAATGAGTCCGTAAGTGAACGTGACACCTTCAAGACTCTCCTGTTTTCCGTCTCAATTTATCCATTCAGTGACTCAAGCTTGAAACGTAAAAGCCTCTTGACTCTTCCATTTCCGGTATACCATCTCACAAATACCCCTCAAATTCATCCTTTCTTCTCCTTCCCAGTTACCAGGCCCAGACAACATCTTTGCTGACCATCATCCTCACACTTACGTAAAAGCAAAGGCTTCAGCGCCCAGGGGGATAACCTGCTGACTCTCCCCAGAGCCGTCTGATAAAAGCTCTTTCTGATCAAAGGACTTGAACCTCCACCCCTTGTTCCTTCTAACCTGGGAAAGGGAGTGCTTTCAAAGGCATTTTTGGCCGTAGTGAGCAGGTGAAGGGGCTTCACATGGACTCAGGACAGGACAGAACTGAAAGGCTGATTGCTTCCCCTGATGTTAAAGGCAACCCTGGAGGGTAAGCTCTCCTTCTTAAAAATGCCTGGCATATGAGGAGCCAGAAAGCAAGCTTCTGGGCCACCCGATTCCCTCCCTGTCTTCCTTTAGAACGAACTCTCCCCGCTGGTTGGCCAAGCTCAGACCGAGGATCCAGGGCGCTCCCGCAGGGCTTCCCTCCGTGTGCCCGCCGCCTCTCCTGCCCCGGCGCCCTGCGACCCTCCCTCCGGGCAGCCCCGGCCTCCTGCTCAGCCCAGACTGTCCTAGGAACCAGCACAGCCATGCCCCCTCGACAAGCACCCGTCTGCTCTTTCCCACTGAATGGCTCATGGGCGGAGAGCAGGCGGCTGTGTCTCTGCCTTGAAGTAGTCTTATAATCATATTACAAATAATTCCTTCCTACCCAGCCAGGCAGGTGAGGAAGCTGACGTGCTGGGGAGTTACCACCACACGGGTGCAAACGCTGCATGGTGACGCAGGAGGAAAGGGCAACAAAGGCTGACCGCTGCATCAAACGAGTTCTGTCCGGATAATTCAATAACACCGCAACAGGGACGACGAATAAACATTCCTCCCAAACCAGCTTCTTTCCCCCTGCCCTCCCAGGCACCGTTCACAGCCTGAAAGGAAGCAGCAGGCCCACCACAGCACATCCCAGCTAAGTGGTTGTAACCGCCTTCAGGGTTAGGTGGCCACAGCCCTGAGCAGCGCTTCAGTGACCTCTCCTTCACCGGCAGTTTAGCCCAGGGCTGTCACTGCAGTACCTGCCTCCTCACAGGGGCAGGAAGGGGAACCAGGGAAGGAAAACGGTGAATGGGGTCTAGCTTGGGCACGAGAATGGGCGGCCCGCCATGTATGTTGCAGGTGAGCTGGCCACTGCACCCCACCTCCCTCCCCACCTGCCCCCCCCTGCACACCGCACACCTTCCCAGGAGCGCAGGGGTGGGGGGGGGTGGAGAGAAAGCAGATGGGAGGGCTTGGGGCACCTGGACCCAGGCTGAAATCCTGGAGTGGCAGTAGCTTTAAGACTGAATGAGCGACCCTCCTGAGACCCTCTTAAGTCTCAAACTGGGGACTGGAAAGGCTCCCTGCTCCCTGGGCTGTGAGGGTTCAGGAGCCTGGGTGAAAGGAGTCCCCGCAGAGGCCCCCGGAACATGTCCCAGGTCTTCTCTTTCCCAGTGCCCAGCTTCCCGGGAAGATCAAATCTTGGATTTTTCCCCAGTGTATCACACAGGATGTCCTGATTGTTTTTTTTTTATTTTAAAGAAAAGAATCCACTAGGTAATTATAGGCAGACAATGTGAAGGAAATGACCTTCACTCTTCTGACCACACGAGGAGGTGGAAAGGCAGGAGGAAGAATAGAACGGCTGAGAGTTAGGTTCCTGCTCCAGGCTGAGCGGGAGGAGAGGCAGGCACACGTGGTCCTGGCGGTACAGCCAGGCTTCGGCCTGTGGGGGGCCCCATGTGGGCCCCGGGGCAAGCCCCTTACCCGCCACCCCTCTGCTCCATCAGAAAAGGATGTAAATGGCAGTAACTCCCGAAAGGGATCGAATGCACGGAGCTTTGGCCCAGTCCAGATCCTGGCGCCCCGGTTAACACCGCTGTGGCTCCCCCTCAGCCTCATCATCTCCTCCTCAGCCCCCCAACCTCCTTCCTCCTGTTACTACCACTGCTCTATGACTTCTTTAAAGATCCTGCCCAGACCTATGGCTTATTGGGATGTTTTTCAATCTGTCTCCCATTTTACCCCAAAGTGTTGACGTAAATTCAATACTTTAGAATCAATGCCTGAATGCTTTCATGTAATGGTCT